ACACACACACACACACACACACACACACACACACACACACACACACACACACACACACACACACACACACACACACACACACACACACACTACAACACATCTATACTCAAATCACATGGCTGAAACAAAAAGACTATGATGTTGATGCTCTAAAAATAAGGTAATATCTCCCCCTACTGGAAGACAACATTTAACCACACACAGACACACACAGTTACACACACACACACACACAGTGCAGTGATTTAACCTTAGCCTTGTCACAGAACCTCCTGTTTTATACAGCTGATAAGAGATAATATGACTCTAAAAGTGCTCCTCAATCACATGACTTTCGTTGTTCTTAGACGAAGAGATCACCAAATTTAGTTCATTCCCAGAGAGATGTCCCATGAATTATCTCTCACCCATTCCAATGCAATCTTTAGTGAACTCGAGCTGTAGGAGAAGCCTTTTGTCAGTGAAACCCTGCATCATGCATTCAGTTTGATGTGTCAAATTCCACAGTAAGATTTCTGATGTCCCATATAAGAATCAAAATGCAAAACATCCTTTATTTAGGAAAAGTCAATTGCAAAAGTAAAGAAACTGACTATTTTTTGGTTTGTATACTTCATGTTATTTATCAGTCTTTATTCTGGCCTATGTGGCAAAGCCAGGTAATTTTACAGAAATAGCATATTTTAAATGGTACTCAAAAACAAATAGAACAAAAAAAAGGGGAAAAAAAGATGATCAATGTGCTGTCACAGACGTCACGTTGAACTAGCCGACAGGGCCTGTGTTCTGGGTTTTTGGGAAAGACAGAGGAGTCTCCTTGTACATTTTTATACGCTCCTTTCTTGTAAATATTGAGTATAGTAGGTGACCCCGACCCACTGAGTCAGCCCCACATTGTCTAACCAGAGACCTTCCTCTCCACCTGTACACAACACACCTCTTCATATGTATGTACACGCCCTGATCCCTTAGCCTGCAGGAGTCTTTCCAGAGCCGAGCCCCAGATCCTCCCTGCGTGTTTTTAGCTCAGTGTTCAGATCATTCTGGCTAATGGCAAACTTGGGTTTGCTCTCGCGGATGTGCTACTGCCTTTGAAATATGTGGGTTATTAAAAGCTGGACTAGGTGAGATTTTTGTATTTAAAAAAAGAGAACAACCTCTCATTAAACAACAGCAGAAACTCAGTGATAGAGTTTTGATTTAAAGTCAAAAATTCCAGCTGTAAAACACACAATCCTTGGTGTGGAAGCTAGCTTAATGGAATGAAATGTTAGCCGCTAGCTAGTGATTTCAAAAAGGGGAAAACTAAGCTAAAAGAATAACAATAGTGTACTTGGACTTATAAGGTGAATATAATACAAATCTAAATAAATTAAACTGTTGCTTCATGTCTGCTGGGTGTGTAGATAGTCAGCAGTTAGCCAACACATTAGCCATATCAGTTGTGAATTTCACATCTTGCAGAACTTATCTTGCTACAGCTTTTACTTTGTTACCCATCAAACTACTTTGTAGCTCTAAGGTATTGATCATATTTGGCAGAAATTTCAAACCTTCAGAAACCTTCAACAGTGACCAGGCCAATAAATAGTCAACCTCTCACATTATGCATTTAAAGACACTTTATTGTGGCCCAATGGCCTAAACTAGAAAACACAGCCTTCCTAACTGGATTGCTAGTGTCTACAGAGACATCAGATACACACTGCAAAAAAATAAATAACAAATTTAAAATAGAAGAGGAACTTCTCCAAACTTCTAACTTTGAAAAAAAACCCGCAGCATTAATGGAAGAAATTTAGTTCTAGAGACTGATGTCACATTACATAAATCCCACCTCATTAGCCAACCCTTGAGGCCGCCGGATTGTGAAGTTGCCTCGTGCAACTTTTAAGAGGACAGAGAGTGGAATGCATTTGGCAGTGTCACGTTTGACGCGATCAGAAAACCCAGTCGTGTTTTTTTTTTTTTTTCCCCACTTTGAAATGAAGGGGCATTAATCACTGTAGCCATCCTCAATTTAGCTTGTCTGTAGTGTTTGGCAGCAAGAATCCACAAATGACCAATGAAATGATGTTTTTGTCACAGGAAATCTTGTGCGCTATATGCCAGAAATCGATAAAGGGTTCGGTTAAAGTCATAAACACTGGAAAATGTCCTCCTCTAACCTAGTGAGCCTTTGCCAGCAGTCCTGTGGGTATAACTGGGAGAACCTGTTGTATGTGTATACTGTAGCTCTACTGTATGTTCATCTAAAGATCTCATATGTTGTTTAAGAGTTTTCCTCATCTACTGTGACACCTGGTCTTGTGACGCCACTTCCCTTCCTGCACACACCCCTCCTCCTCCCCCCTTGACATCTTTGGTGGATTTTGCATCAGCCCTAATGTTGTCCTGACATTTGTTTTAGAAGAGGACGGTGAAATTAACATCGAAACCTTGTATAATGTGTAAAAGTTTCTTTCGTTTTTTTAGTTTTTTTTTCTCTGGACTCTTTGGTCTGTTTTCCTTTGGAATGGTCACTACAGCACTTTCTGTAAATTGGCCAATAAAAACTTGTTTTGGAATCTAGCTGTGGGGTCTGTATTTGTGTGACAGTGTGAGTGTTTCTGTGTAGCCAGTAATACATTTTGTGTAACTGCATCCTCTTTGGAGCTCATAATCCTCTTGTGGAAACTGTATGTGAGCAATATCAATTGAATTATGCAAAAAGAACAGTTGTGCACTGTACTAAAAATTAAGTTAAAAACTATTTAAAGGGACTTTTTGTAATCAACTTCTGCACAGTTCAAAAGCTTCATCACCAGGTGGCACGTATGTATGCTGTTGCATTTAAAAATTGTAATCTCTCTTTTTAGCTAGCCCTATTTCCTCTAGATGCTCTGCCTTTTTGCCTAGCCATTAGAAATTACATTGTGTGCTTAATGACTCTTCTGTGAAGGCTTTCCACAAGTTTTAGAGGTGTGTTTATGGGAATTTTCAACCGTTCTTCCAGGAGTGCATTTGTGAGGAGTGCAAGAAGGCCTGGCTCGCAGTCTAATTGATCCCAAAGGTGTTCTATCAGGGTTGAGGTCAGGTTCTTCCACAGCAACTCAGCCATCCATCGCTTTATGGACTTTGCTTTGTGCACTGGTGTGCAGCCATGTTGGAACTGGAAGGGACCATCCCCAAACTGTTCCCATGAAGTTGGGAGCATAAAATTGTCCAAAATGTCTTGGTATGCTGAAGCATTAAGAATTCCTTTCACTGGAAGTAAAGGGCCGAGCCCAGACCATAATATGTCCTCTACCAAACAGTGCAGTCGGACATTTACTTGTCTCGTGGAAACCACCAAACCCAGAATCATTCATCGGATTGCCAGATGGAGAAGCGTGATTCGTTATTCCAGAGAACACGTCTCCAGTGCTCTAGATTCCAGTGGTGCCATGTTTCACACCCCTGCAGCCCACGCTTTACATTGTAGTTGGGGATGTAAGGGTTGGCTGCAGCTGCTCAGCAAATGAAACCCATTCCATTAAGCTCTCTGTGCACCATTCTTGAGCTCATCTGAAGGCCACATGAAGTTTGGAGGTTTGTAGCGACTGACTCTGCAGAAAGTTGGCGACCTCTGCCCACTCTGCACCTCAGCATCTGCTGACTCGTGGCCACCAATTCATGGCTGAGTCGCTGTTGTTCCCAATTGCTTCTACTTTGTTATAATACCACTAACAGCTGACTGTGGAATATTTAGTAGTGAGGAAATTTCACCGCTGGACACGGTATCACGCTGGAATTCACTGAGCTCCTGAGAGCGAGCTGTTCTTTCACACATGTTTGTAGAAGCAGTCTGCATGCCTGTGTGCTTGATTTTATAAACCTGTGATTGGAACATGTGAATTCAATGATTTTGGATGTGTGAGTGAAGACTTTTGTCCTGAGCACAGCACACAGACATTTTGGACAGTGAGTGTTTCTTTGCATCCTGCTGACAGCTCTAGTTAATTTAGGAAGTTTTCAAGTATAAGAATTTACAATAATTACCTTAAAGCATAAAGCACTCCAGATAAAAAAAAAAATATTCCAGTTAAATTCACAACAGACCCACAACATCTGAGGAGCAAATGTCTCTAAAGGCATCAGTTTAATTGAACGCAATCAGCCATTTTCTAAACTACTTATCCTCTCCAGGCAGAGCTGCGGCGCTGATCCCTACTGGATTACTTTTTTGTTCTTCAACAAAAGACTCAGGGCTGTGTCAAATTAGAAGTGTGGAAAAGCCAGAAAACATAAGTCGGGCTGTACAAAATGCCACTGACAAGGTCTTTGACTCATTTTTGCCTTTATGAACACTAATTCTACTCATAGTGCCAGGGGCTGGTTAGAGTAAGCATTACCAAAGCCTGTTATTGGACATGTTTTTGTGTGAGAAATTGGAGTTCAATGACTGAACCACCCAACTGTGCGCTCTATCTAATCTTCACCTAAAGAACAAGCCAGCACTGTTGTCGATGTAACTGTTCAATAAGCAGTTTGTAAACGCAGAGCAAGCTGCAGGGTTGGGTGTTCTCCATGCTGCTGAAATGCTGCCCGGCAAAGACAGTCCATCTGGTCCGACTTCTCTCAATACATTAAAAGTCCTCTGTGGCTATTTGGGTTGTGCTTTTCCTAATTTTGAGATGGCGACATCAAACCTATCCTAGATTAAAAGCATCTTTCCAAGAAGAAGAAGAAGATGAAAATCAGCAGCTAGTGCCACAAAGCAGCTTCTCTTTGTATGACTTGCCACAGCAATTATGAAGGAGGATGTAAGTTAGTAAGGAGTACATCTATGTGTATTACCTCTTTTCAGCTTAGAGAACTTGCTAAATGTACATATATATTTGCATAAACCAAAACTTGTTTTACTTATTTTCCTCATGGATAGGGTTACTCTGTGTGGTATAAGCATACCCAAGGATAGACAGGCC